CGTCCAGTCGATAGCACGCAAGATAGCTTCCCATTCTCGCCACAAAAAAAAGTTATCAAATCGACGAAAACCCAAGCAAACGATGAACTGCACGAATGTCAACATAGGCAACAAACAGCCCATAATTTTGCTATTCCATATTTGGAAGTCAAATCTCAGACCCAGTCTTCAACTGCCATCCGGACTCGAAACGATGGCTTCGCTCGTTTTCGACAAAGCTTCACAGTTGAACACGTTAGGTTTACATAATTTACGGTTTATTTGTGGAAATTTTATACTGCCTAATCGCATCATCGCTAACCATATCAACAGTTCCACTGTTTAAAGTCCTACTCCAGCTAAAGGAATATAATGTACAAGGAGGTTAAGTCTAATGCCGTGTGTTAAGTCAGGCGCCCGCGCGGGCTCCTTGTACCGAAATTTGGTCGCCCATGCTCTTACCTTGGGCGCCTCTGGCGACCGGGCGCCCGTTAGGCAGCAGCCTTGCAACATATTGTCTTATTCAACAAAATAAATGGAAGTTGTATTTTACAAAGGAGCTACAAAAGACGCTAGACCGAAGATAAAGACCAAGACTGTTTCAAATCATTAACAATTAGACTTGTCTGTCGCTATTGATTTTATAATTTAGATGCTGATAGAACAAGAGACCAAGTCTTTGTTTTGATCTTAGGGAAACATACATTATGCTCCAACACAAACAGTTCAAAAACATGGCATTTACAGGATCTAACTCGTACTAAGGTGCCTCTCTAAGTCCGTTGAGAACAATCTGGACGAGCAAACGGTCGTGTTTATCTTTGCCGTGAATCGAGATAAATACAAGAAGGAATCTAGCCGAATTTTAAAATGTTTCCTTCGCCAGGAGTTTAGTTTAAATCCGAAACTCATGCCCTGATGCTCTTGTAATCGTTTACAAAAAACGGCCGCCAAACTCGATAGCCGCTTCATTATATGTCCACATACTTTGAGCACAAGAAAAATCCAAGAGCCAGCAGCCTCTAAAATAACTCAATAGAAAGGTCCTGTGAACTATAGGGAAGATTCCATCAAAGATTCCATCACTCATTGTGGAGTAGCCGTCATTAACTCTGCCATTACAACGGCCGCTGATAAGAGGACACAGTAAATCCACGTAAAAACATTCCACAGGCAAACAATTTTAAAATAACGCCAAAAAATTGTTCTGTAATCACCATAGAATGATTCTTAATACAAAACTTCGCTAACTATCGAACGATGGCTGAGATTTAGACAGATAAAAACAGCCTTCCAAAATCTCCGACACAACTTGAAAAAGACAGCCCAACTTTTTCAAGTTTGTTTTCATTGGCTCGCGCATGCGTGTTGGGTGACATAGCCCCTTTAAGCTGCACTTCAATCTTATAATGTTTGATCTGTAAATCACTATCCGTGATAATTTTTAAACATCCTGCAAAGATAACTAACGAGCTGTGCATTGCAGAAGATTGCAGAAAAACATTACATTCACGGACAAAAGAAAATGGCCTAGTCAGTCAGATCCAGAAGGCACTTTGGAGAAAAGTAAGACCCTTATTCAGCCGCAATAAAAAGCTTTACGCTTCAATAGAGGTAAAAAAAAATGCTCTTGCATCAGAGGGCAAATCCTGCTGACCAGAAACAAAAACCACAGTAAATCGATGTGTGCCATGACCTCTCAGTGTGAAAAAAGTGGCTAAAATCACATTTGCTCACTGAAAATGTAGAACCTTCCAGAGCATAATCTAGCCAGCAGAGGAAAACACTGGGAACAAGCAGCATTTTGGCATGAGATAAAAGTCGTGCAGGCCTACCGCCCCCTTTTATTGCTATAAATACCCCAAGGTGTAATTCCTGTCGGCGATCAAAGCACTGCTGATCTTTTTGTACTTGTTTTTGGTGCTTCATGTTCTGGAAAAGTCATGATAGTATCTGTACCTTTGGCATTCCAAGTTCGCTCATTGCAGGGGCTTGTTAAAGTAGAAACTGAACTAGCAAGACGAACAGCCTGTTAGGCACAAGTTAAGCAGCTTAAATCGGAAAAGCTCTCTTCTTGCTCAAGGAGAAATCTTAAGGATTCAAATGCTTGCGCTAGTACAACGCTGTCTTGACCACTGTCAACCAGCAAGGTCTTATTTGCTTGAAATGCCAAAGACCGGCACGGTATTAATTCAGTTCGCTAAATCTGGTTTAAAAGAAAGTCTTAACAGGTTCTTTTGGGATTTTTCTTTACATCTTTTTGGATATTTTGGTCTGCTATCGAGCCTTTTTGTTTCTGTGAGTGTTTGTTTCACTGCAGTACTTTCGATGGCGGCGCCTGATCGAAATGTCCGGTTGAAAGACTGCGTCGACGGAAGTCGCGGAAGTAAATTTGTCTCCGTGAATCCGTTTTTGTTATCTCTGGAGAGATGGGAAAGAAGCTCTTGGCTGCAAATTCTACAGACAGGGTGTTTGCCGAGTTCCTTCTACATCGAATGTTCAATTGTAAACAAAGGTCCCGTTGAAATCAGTTGAAAGCAAAACAAGTGAGTCAATCTAACATGAACAATGCTTTATTTAGCGAGTGATATCCTTAATGTAAACTTATTGTCTGGCGTATCGCTCTAAAGTAGCGAGAACAATTATTAGCAAACCAATCCTTAGCAAAACCTAAAGAAACTGTAACACAGCGATTACAGCGACAAGACTGTACGCAGTGCTGATTCGACGATTTGCAAACACAGCTTCTCGCTTATTCTTTTGAGAACACATACCTAAGCTTCCTATAATAAATTGAGGAATCAAAACATTTCATAGTCGAATTGGGCTTCAGGAAAATGTCACCTGGTGCCTTAGACGTTTCGTAATTTTATGACCTTCATTGTGTTCATCGGACTCAACAAAGCATCCATACACATTCACTACCAGTTTAAATTTTGAACTGCTTTCTCCAGTGACATTTAACGAAGTCGGTAATACATCTTTCTCCATTTGGACAAGTTTAAAAGTCTTACTGGCCTCTTTGATACTGTCTCTTTAAGCTTCAGTCAAGCGTGAAAAAAGCTAGCCTCCCTCGAAGTCGTTTTTAGTATCATCACGTAACGCTCCTCAAAAGTGGAAGCCAATCAAAGCACTGCATTTGACAAAAAAATCGTTCAAAACAAAAACACAAGTGTGCAAAGCCGTTTGGGTGAACATGGGCCTTTACAATCCATATTTGGATGTCGGCTTTTGAAATTTTTTTTTCTCTTCTTCCTCTGTGGCCCCTCCGGCCTCTAACTTGCATCATGGACGTCCACATTCCAGAAGACACAGTTATGCTCAATGCACAGCTAAATGCATTGAATAAAATAGAATGGTAGTCTTACTGCTAATAGCAAACTCAGCAGACTGAAGCTGCTGGGTAGTCAAAAGGTGACTTTTCAGTCTGCGTGGGGCATACTCCTCCCTCCATGCTCTTTTCTAAAATTTTGAATTCACATTCAACACTGATTCCTTATTGTTGTGATGACCTTGTTTTGTGAAGGTGAAGATCCAGCCTTTTTTCTTGTTTTACCCGTCTGGGCGCTGGCTGGCATCTTGCTCAAAATTCTGTGGCTTATACCTGCAGTTCTCTTGCTTCAGCTCACAACAGGTAATTTTTGGTACTGTCTTCCCAGAAATTCTCTTGCTTAGTGTTTTGGCAGTCATAAAGCCATTCAGGCTCCACTTTGTTGACTTTCATCTTAGTGTATTGGTTCTGAGGTCCAGTATACATGGGGAAGGAAGAGGGAAAGTGTCCCTGAGTGCAAATGTATACTGTGCAGTTTGCATTTGACTTGTCGATAACTGGGACACAACTGTAACACACTATATAAAACATGGATGGATGACACCTTGTGAATAAGAGCCATTTGTGCAGCGTTTGCACTCAAAGATCACTTTGTGAGATTTTCATTTCGTGAAGTGGTAGTGGCTGAATTAGAAATGTATTGAGGATAACAATTCTGATAAGCAAAAAACGGAAGAACAGCACAAATGCCGCAGGATCATATTCTGCTAGAGATAAGTAGCAGCAGAATTTCCACTCCAACATATCCAAAAGTAGTTCTAAAGAGGATCTATCAAAGATTTGGTATTGATCATGGTCTTCCGAAGAAACACCACAGACTCTTACAGGAAGGCTGTGGTGCAGAAGAGTAGTACAAGTCACTTGTGAAGGACAAGTTATTGTCTGAAATGGGACAAGAATAGCTTTTGTATCTCGAGGAAATGAAGGCTCTTTTACTACTAACGATGAATACTCAGAACAGTTGTGAGATTTGATCAATTTCTCTCAGTACTTGTGACAAATGTTGATCTTAAGCGTATGTTATCCAAGTCATTACACTGGATTATCTGTCACATTCAAAAAAGTAAAGTTATTGTAGACTGCGTTCACAACAAGGAAGTATGCTATAAATCGACAAAGAATATCGATCTTTGGTGTCCTTAGTTCGTAAATCCATTGGAATACAAATACACGAGGTAAATAGTAACATAAGGTCAATATAATACTTAAGAGCATTCACCACTCTTCTCTAAGTGTTTACCAGTGCCAAGTTGAAATCTTTCTGATCCAGACTTCACAAACTCAGCTAGGTAAGCTATTTTTCGATGTTTGGATTATCGTAAAACTTTTGCCACAAAGACCTTAAGGACACTTTCCTTTGAATTCGTTGCCACTAATGCCACTAAATCACAAGTGAGGGGAATGTAATCGATGTTCCCTGCTTGGTTTTCTTTGCTATCAACTTCTTTAGTGTCTTTTATATGTGATTTTCCTTTTTTTTGTTACATAAGTGCATGTTCGGCAGTGCATTCACCAAAGAAAGTTAGTAGGAATTACCATAAGACATTAAGTAAAACATTTATTTTTTGTTAACGTACGATGTTTCCCTTTTGGTTTGATGACCTTGTTTTGTGAAGATCAAGTTCCAGCCTTTTCTCTTCTCTTACCCCTGATGGTGTTCTGGCCCCCATCTTGCTCAAAATTCTGTGGCTTATGCCCGCAATTCTCTTGCTTTAGCTGGCAAAAGCTCATCTAAGATTCCCATAAGTTCCCAACTCAATCCAAATTTTCTATCTGGGTTTGTAAGAACGTGCAAAGCAATTTTTAAGACTTCAAAAGCTTTACATTGGGGTCTATTATACTGATGATCATTGGTGGCAACAGCCTCCAAAAACTTGACAAGAAAAGGAGCCACCTTTGTAATTTCCGTGGATGGATCCTTGCTAACATATATTCGGACAGAAGATAAAGGGGGTGGTGATTCTATGAGATCAGTCCACGGCGATAAGCTTAGATGTATCAATTATTCAATTCTATGTAAGGTTCAATCGTTCCGATACAAAGTCAACAATACCCCAACTTACTCATCATTACTTTTGTTGCTTTGCCCACGAACAGTTGTGTACGACTTTCCAGCTCGCATTTTTAGGCCCAGTGCAGCCACTTCTAATACGTGGCAGTTTAAGCAGACGCTTTCAAACCCTGGACGGAGGGTTATGCATATGGTCCGGTCTCCAATGGCTTCTTCCATGACCTCTTTGCAGCAAATGCACTCCTGCGCTTTTGTAACAAGGCTGACAGAGCAGTTCGAGTACGAACACCTGCAAAATAATGTGAAAAATACGTCTGTATAAAATTATTAATTGTCTGACCGCTTTAAAACTATCGCATAAAATCAGAACTACCGCTAATCACATAGCAACGAAATTGTAAACTTAAACAAAACACATAGTCGCGTTCATCATGCACACGATTTAACGACAGGTATGTTAAAATTGGAAAATAAAAATATAAATCTACATTCCATGATACCATACCATTCATTCGCTGGCACCTTTCCCGAATATCTTTGTTGAAACTGTTGTTCCTCTTCTTTGCGATGAACTCTTTTGTTGTAGTCCGCGGCTTCTTCCTCGGTGGTAAGAGGTTCGCAACTGTCGTTGTACGATGCAAATTCAGACAATTCCCCAATCACTTTGTCAACTGTAAAACTTTCTAGATCACTTTCAGATGTGCAGGAAGAGGAATCCGACGGAGAAGACATCTTAATGGCTCTAAACTCACAAACTTTTCCCAAATGCGAATCTTTTGGTTGATGTTTCTACATCACAGTGCATAAATCACGTGGTCAAACGCAAGACCGCTTTGCGGAGATCTGGCGGACTATTATTTTGCGAACTTTGTAATGGCGGACGGTATTTACGCACTTTTCAGTGGGAAATTTCCAGCCCCCGTACACAAGTATCATTCCAATTTTTCGCTGTTTGTATAATTTTGAACATATAGAAAAGATTTATGTTAAACAAACTCGGAAACAAAAACAACAATTTTCCTTGTAGTAGCACGTTAAATATACCGAGTGAAGAGTTAACTTCTTCAGTTTTTCTACGTCAGTCACGCAGAAAGTTCTGTAATTTTTCGTCCAGCTTTGGTGGACTAATCCAAAGGGAAAACGTGAACTCATCTTAGTGTATTGGTTGTGAGGTACAGAATACATTGGGAAGGAAGAGGGAAAGTGTCTCTGTGAGCAAATGTATTGAAACGTTGAGCACTGTGCAGCTTGTGTTTGACTTGTCGATAACTGGGACACATCTGTAACTCACTAGAAAAAATGGATGAACGACACCTTGTGAATAGAGCCACTTGTGTAGCGTTTGCACCCAAAGATCACTTTGTGAGATTTTCATTTCGTGGAGTGGTAGCAGGTGAATTAGAAATGCTTTGAGGATATCAATTCTGATAAGCAAAAATCGGAATAATCGCACAAATGCCACGAGATCGAATTCTGCAAGAGATAAGTAGCAGCAGAATTTCCACTCCAACATATCCAAAAGTAGTTCTAACGAGGATGTATCAAAGATTTGCTATTGATCATGGGGTTCTGAAGAAACGCCACAGAGACGTATAGGAAGGCTTTGGTGCAGAAGAGTGGTACAAATTACTTGTGAAGGACAGGTAATTGGCTGAAATGGATCAAGAATAGCTTTCGTATCTCGTGGAAATGGCTCGCTATTGATGCTGAATGCTCAGAACAGTTGTGAGATTTGATCAATTTCTTTCAGTTCTTTTGACAAACGTTGATCTTGAGCATATGGTATCCAAGCTATGACACTGGATTATCTGTCACATAAAAAAAAAAAACTAAAGCTATCTCAGACTGCGGTCATAACAAAGAAATATGCTATAAATCAAGAAAATGTAACTCTTCAATTTTTTCGGTGAATGTGAAGCACCATCATCAGATTTCGTGCCAGCTGCTTCATGCTGGTTCTCCATTTCTTTCTGTTTAGAGAATCTCATAATGCGATGAAGATCAGATGCAGCTTGTAGACATGCTTCTTCCTTTTCCATAAGGTAATAAAATCTGTTTGCAGTGGCCTCATTATGCGCCGCAAGGTCGGCTAAATCTTATCTCAACTCATTATGCCGTGTGGCACATTTGTGACTGCAGACTTGTGAAACAAAGTTGATGAGATGTGCCCTTGCATTTTGCCTTTCGTCCTGTTGCATTTATACCAGTGCAGATTTGGCCAGACTCCATCCAAGACAAAAATACGTAAGCTTTGCTACTCTCATTCTCATTACTAGTTGAATCCAACACCTTGCTTTGCACTTCCTTGAAGTACACTTGTAAATACGAGAATAGGGTTGGTGACAACACCACGCATGCTGGGCTGTGAGTGTCTGCTGTTTTGTGCTTGACACTTATGACGATGCTATCCTGCTTTTTCTTTGCACCCTCATATTCACCAACTGTCATATTAGTCAACACACCAGATGAGTGTGCCTTTCAATGGTAATTTCAAGGAGCAGAAAATCTCCGAAAAGAGTGTACACGGCATGGTTTACAACCAGTGAATGCACTCCAGTGAGTTTTCCTATTTGTCCGATAGCGCTCCCTGCTGACTCATTCTGTTCAAACTCATTGATCATATCAGGGGTTACTAGGTTGCTGAGGTCGTTGTTCATGTTCTCTAGTTGCCTCCGTTTGCTATCCTTTTTGTACAACATGGGCTAAAGACGTGCTTTCTCTGCAATTTGGCTGACAAGGGCAGTATCAACATCCACACACTCAGGTTTCTCTGGTGTCACGTACAAACAGAAATGCCTCAAACTGAGATGATACACCTTATGGTATCAGCAATATACTTCGTTGCTGTATGCAAAATGTCCGAGACAAGACCGTTTCTAAACAAAGACCTCAAGTTCTTTCTTGGGTCAATTGTTTCCAGAATACGAACCAACTGGGAGTCATGTTGTTTGGATACAGGGTTCGTACAGGTCATGGAAAACCTGGAAAGTCGTGGAATTTAATAATTTCATTTTCCAGGCCTGCAAAGTCATGAAATTTAATTGTCGTTCCTGGAAAGTCATGGAAAATTAAAGATTTGTATAATAGATAAGTTGCTGCAGATGACAAAGCAAGGCTGGACAATGTAAGATCAAGACAACAAATCAATCAGGCAAACGGAAGACATTTTGGTGGACTGAGGATACCAGAGTTTGTGTCTCTTGAACTGCTTTAGGTAAAAACAAGGAAAGTTTGAGAAATTTTCGAAAGCGACAGCTTAACGTAAGGTCGTGGAAAACTTGAAAAGGTCATGGAAATAGTCATGGAAAGTCATGGAATTTGAAGGGCTCAAAAGAGTACGAACCCAATCGATAGCTTTGCATCCTTTCCATTGCCATCTGAATCTTAATCTCTCTATTGAAGTGTGCAGAAATCAAACTTTTTAATAGTATTATTCTACACATTTCAAGTGCAGCGATTTGTTTATACAAAACAAGAAAAATAACTTTACGATATATGTATTACGTGGATTAACTGTTGTCTACATTAACTGATGTTTATTTAACTCACATTAAATCCACATACATACCATCCATTGGTTCCTCTATGACAATTCTCTGACGTATTCTAGGCTCTTGAGTTTAAAAATAGATCCCACAATGAAACAGCAAATAACCAAAAAACGAGGAAAGAGAGAAGGGAAGAGAAATGTCGTATTTTTTATTCCAAAACAACTAAAATATTCACAGCACAAAAATCCTGAACAGACACGCTGCAGTCCTTCCCACAGGTTGCTTGTCGAGCTCACCGCTGCATCGAACGCTAATAAATAACAATGGAAGAAACAAACTTGTAAATAAGTGGCAAATTTTCTCCTTCATATGCAACAACAGCCTGAATTTCAGCCATTTTCTCCAATAACAAACTCTCACCACTTCCTAACTGAAGGAAACAGGTAAAATTAATGCCTACTTTTTAAACAATGCTGTTCCCACGCTGTAGGAACAACATTCGTTAAAAAGTTGAAGAAAATACTACTTCAAGTAAAAACAGTTGTTTCAATATTCACAATTCAAAACAATATGAAATGTTTGCTTGCTATTAAAGCATAACGACTTCAATTCCATGAACTGCACAATGTAAAATTTGCAACCGACTTCTTACACTTACTGATTTATCACCTTAACCATTATAAATTGCAACTAATTATGTAAAAAATAGCTTTAAGTCAAAATAATTGATTTAATGTTTAACTTACACATCTTTCTACTTGTAAGCTCACCAAACAGACCAAAGGAGAAGTAGACCTATTTTCCAGAGAGTTTGAAAGTCAACCATGCACTTTATGTTTCAAAGTCACGTGGAAAGCATACTATTCGTTATCAAAAAAGATTGATTGACAAAATTAAAAAAAAAAAAGTTTTTATTGGCTCGTTTTTGTCTTAACATCGATAACTAGGCAGCAACTGGCAAAGGTTAACATCAATTGCATTAGGGTTGGGTCGACTGATTTTTGTCCTATAAAAGTAGCTAGAAATCTAGGCTTCTTGGTTTGATGAGAAGCTCACTATGTCAACTGATATTAGCAAGTTATGTGGTGTTCCCTTTTACCATTTGCATAATATCAAACGCATTGAGCAAGTATTTGTCTCGAGAATCAACAGAAATGCTTGTCCACATGCATTTATTACATTTTGTGTTGATTTACAAGAAGCCTGGTTTGGACATTCCGTTCAAAAGTTTCTGTTCAGTCAGTAACCTCTGTTATATTTCTAAATTGTCAGAGAGGGCTCAGGGCTGAGCAGTTTATGTAGCATCTGACTGTCAACAATTTACATTCTCATCTTCAATTGGCACATAAACAGCAACATAGTATGGAGACGGCGCTTTATGTTAAGTTAAGAATGATATTTTGATGTCCATGAATGAGCAACATGTCACCTTACTCGTATTTTTTGATTTATGTGCAACTTTGGACACAATACATCATGATAAGCTGATTAAATAGATAGGGTGTCATATGTAGAGACATGTTTTTCAAATTGTTGCCATTCTTGAGGCCGGGCCACTCTGAAAAAAATTGGTACGTTGGGATTACTTGGTGTATATTATATATCTTTTTGGACTAACCTACCTAACAGAACAAATAGAACTAAAAAAGCTTTTGTTGTTGAAAGAATTTCGCGAAATTTGGATATTGTGAGTGTTAGCAAAATCAAAAGGATCTTCTCTCCCGGAAATTATGTATCATATTGTTCTTAAGTAACAGATAATAAATTCTGTCCCATAGGTAGTTTAGATGGAAAAATGAGAAGTGTGATAACACAGCGAGCCACACGTTCAAGCGGTTGCTGAACAGACATTTTAATCTCTATCAAGTGCCTTGAAGGTACAAACGAAACTGAATATATAATGAGTCTAGCAGCACGTGCAAATGAAATTCAACACAGGGCGTGAAAATTACAATATTATAACAAGAAGTGGCTTTCATGAAAATTTCATGGAACACCTACACTAAAACAGAAATGAAATTAACACAAATCGTCTATATTCCTGATAGAAATACTGGAAATTCGGATATTTTGCCTTTTTTTACATATTTAAAACAGCTATAAGCTTACCATGTTTCTTTCAAAATATCGAAAATGTTCCTTTCTGGCCAATCTGTTGAGAACAAGAAGATGCTCGAATGCTTGTATGCGTAATGTGCTGTTGTAAGTAAGAATTACTGGTATGTTGAATGGCAGTGGAAAGTTGGGTAGTGTATCATCAACAAATGTGTGCAGGAGAGACGGAGATGTTCTGTTAGGGACTAATACACTGGAAGATAAGTTACACACAGGGGTTTCTTTGCTACTCGAAACGAAACTTACATCAATATTATCACTATGTATGCTAAAAGTATGGGTAGTTCACTAAAATTTGCATTCCCTTTTTTTAATGTCCTCAAAAAATGCACTTCCACATTCAACAATAGCATGTAATGTATCATAGTTCCAATAACTACAGGGCTGCAAGGCTGTGCCCTAGGAAAATTTCAGGGAGCCCTTCAGGCTCCCAAGCATTTTAGCTGGGGTGCCCAGGCCTAAAAGATCTAGATGGTCGCCCAAATAGAACTTTCGGGGAGCACTTTGGTCTTCCATTCTAGCTGGGTGCCCTATATGTTATTGAATCAAACGTTGCTAAAGTTGTTATATAATTGATTTTACATCTTATAATTTGTATCCAGACATTGATTTTGCTCTTAACCCCCCTCTTTTAATTCTGTTTTTTTTTTAACGTTGTTCGTTTTTGTTATTAATTATTTCTTTTTCTTGGTGTGACTTGTTGATGTAAGAATATGCTTGTTTTTACCTGAGACATTTCAGCAAGAGCAGAGATTGAACCACTGGCCCATATAATGGTGCTGCTTTGCGAGAATGAGCGGTCAGATTCTCCCCCGAGTTTGGTGGGCAGGTGAGCTAATGCGAAGATCAGCTCTGTCTTTAAACACTGGTAGTAAATAAGTGAATTTGGTCTTGTAACTGCTCGATCGATGAAAACATTAGCGAAGTATTTAAGGATCATGGAAATGGACCCAAGGTACATTACAATGATTTCAAATCCGTACAAGATAGATTTATTCTTAACACAGCAGCATGCTAATTAAAGCCATATGGACATGGTAGATTGGTGTCGTTGGTTTAAATTTAGATTATGTAGCACTTCCAAACCTGTTGCAATGCAGATGTCTTCTAGGCATTTTCCTTTCTTATCAATGTTGTAGATACAATAACGTAATTTCAACGTTACCTTTTATGGCTGGTATGTAAGATGTACCTGTGAATTTTTAATAAAGGCAGAGGTTCCATTAAAGAAAGCTCATAGGGGGTGTTCTTGAACATGACAATGGCAGAGGTTCTTCCTTCAAATTATTTGCATACCCTCCTTGTTGATTTTGCTACTTTCTTTGTGGTAGGATTATCAACAAACGAAAAGAGGTAAAATATTGGCCCTTTTCATTAGATTTATTTAGAAATGTTTTTGGGCGTGCTATTTTGGTATTCTTCTTTAGCCAGAG